CCGATGCAGGGAGCCTCCCCGGGGGTTTGCCGGCCGGGGGACCTGCCCTGGCCACGGCTGGGACCACTCACCCGTGGAAGCGCTGGCAGGGACTGCGCCCCGCTCCGAGTCCTGCTGCTCGGGGCCGTGCAGCTCTGCCCCCCGCTTGAGCCTGGAGACAAGCTCTGGTTTGGCAGCTTCCTGGCCTGTTGCATAGACAGAGACTGACATGGGTCTGGTCCGAGCTGGCCCCTCGGGGCTGCACACCCCACCCGTCTCCCTGATTTGGGGGGACAATCGCCCACATGCTCCCTCCTGCGGGTGTTGGCTAATGCACGCCAAGCTACTGCTAGAGAGGACGTGGGTGGCACAGAAGGGGGCTGCTGGACATCGTGTCCCCCATGCTCCCGGGGGTCCACACCAGCTCAGAGCCCACGGCACGGCCAAGGCTGCCAGGACGCCGTGTCCCCCGCACCCCGGCCCTGCTTACCGAGCTGGGCGAGGCGCTCGTAGTTCTCCATCATGACGGCACGGTACAGCTCCTGCTGCCACGGCGCCAGCATCTCCCACTCCTCCCGGGAGAAACGGATGGCCACGTCCTCAAACCTCACCGGCCCCTGGAAGATCACAAGTGTCACACTCAGCACGAGTCTGTGCCACGAGGGGTGTTCCCTGCGTGCACAGCCGGAGGGCAGCGACTTGTCACGGGGACTTGGAGCCACCACGATCACAGCATCGCACGTCATACTGCGGTCCCGGAGGCGTAAAGGGGCCTCCCCACCCCACGCTCTGCTTTTTGGGCGGCTCACGGGGACACTGTGTAGTACTGTGGGCCTCGGCAGATTTTCAGCTGCTGCGTATGCTACCCCCCGCCACGAACTTGCTGCACCCAGAGGCCAAATTTCCTGAAAGAAAGGAAAACTGAGAAATCTGAACAAAGATTTGGGCTTCCTTAAGAAGCGCCTTTTAGCTGGAGAACCGGAAATCCAGAGTCAGGAAAGAGCAGTGTGTGTATGAGCCCTCCTGCTGTTGCTGCAAAACCAGCAATTAGAAACCAAGCGTTACACCAGTGAAGAGCGGACATAGCTTCTCGTTTCCACCAACTGCTGTCTATGGAGCGCGGAAAAATGATAAGAGAAGCTAAAGGCATCGTAGGGGGGAAAAAAATCCCTTGGGTGGCAGGAGTAAGGACAACCGCGAGGAACGCAAGTGCATTCGAGTGTAAGCAGTCCTAGCAAAGTCACATCTCGGGACGCTAGTAAGCAATCTTTGCATTCTCCTATGCCTAAGGAAGGGTGTGTGCACCCGAAAGCTTGCAAACATCTCGTTGGTCTAATAAAGGATATCACCTCTGCCATGAGTTCCGATTCCTTTTGACATTGGTAAGGCTTTCAAACACCGTCCACGTGACAGTGTCATAGAAACAAGCACGATCTAGGTGTAACTATCACGGCGCGGGTGCACGACGGGGAGGGGTGGGAAGAGGGCACCTGAAGGGAAGTCCAGTTGGGGTTCCTCTTAGTCAACATTTTCATTAACAACTCGGACATCTGAAGAGACAGCACTGGGCAAAACCTGTACGAGACACCAAGTGAGGAGGGTGCAACAAGCTTGGGAGATCAAAATCAGATTTTTTTTTTTTCCTGACACCAAAATTCAAAAAGAAAATCACCAAGGTGAGATTCAGTAGAGAGCAGTGCAAAGTGCTGCGCTGGGGAAGGAGAAATCCACTGAGCAGACACAGGGGCAGGGGCACGTGGCCAGGCCGCAGGCCAGCAAAAGAGCAGCCGGGGTCACAGCAGATCACCACCCGCGTGGCGGGGCAGTCGGCAGCTCTTGCAAGAAATGCCTGGCCTCGATCTGCGACCCGGTGCCGGGAGCGTCGGACGTTGGGCACAGGAGAGAACTGTTGCACTCTCTGCAGTGCCAGCGAGGCTGTATCTGGAGGGTCGCGTCCCGTTTTGGAGGCACTGAAAGAAAAGAAATCTGCCGACGAACTGGAGCGTGCAGAGGAAAGCACCAGGAATCAGAAGAGGTTCATCACGTGAACCACGAAGAAGAGTTCACGGATCTGTGCTGCCTTCCTCTGCAAGAGAGGATGGACAAGGGACACAAAACCATCTGGGGAGCACCGATCCACCGCTGTCCCGGGCCACGGCGGGAGGGACGCGTCAGCAGGATCTGCAGCAGAGCGTTAGGTAGGAAACGCCTGCGGTGCCCCTGGAACAGGCAGCGCCCAGGATGGGGATCCTGCCTCGGAGCCTGGCCCGACTGGTGGGGCTGGGGGACCTCATGACCCCAGCCTGCCCCGCGTTTCTAGGGGCCTGTGTGCCAGACCCGTTACGGCGTGTTCTGCGTCACTGCTATGGGCGCTGCAGGAAGTCCTCTGGCTCCTTCGTGCCACGCTGGGGAGGCAGCCGGATGATGCCCTTGCAGCAGAGCAGATGCTTCCCCGTCCACCAGCAGTCATGGGGGGCGACATTGATGCCCAGCTCTGCTGCGGGCCCAGTCTGCAGGGAGGGAGCCTGGTGCCTCGCTGCACTGCGATGGGTCCTGCCCCGGGCACGGGGACACCACAGTGCAAAGCATGCAAAAATGCGAGCTCAGGGGCCAGGACCCATCAACGGGGCACAGGAGGCTCTGGCTGGGAGCATCACCCCAGCCTCAACACCCTGCTCCAAACAGGACCATGCACCTGGCTGGGCACCTCCGCTCCAGGCCAGGCGGAAGGCACAGCTGGGCACAGCTGGGCGGGGACAGGAGCTGCCAGCTGCAGCTGGCCTGGCCCGTGCCCATCCATCCTGGTGCCAGTGCATCCTACCTGGGCAGGGGCCATGGCCAGGGCCCGGGACAAGGCACCTCCTCCTGGCCCTCCTCTTCCTAGCGCCACCTCCTCCAGCTGCAGCTGCCGGGACCTGGGAGGGGATGTCGCTCCTTATTCCTGGTCCATGCGGGAGCCCGGGATGCTGCCCCAGCACCAGCTCAGCTCGGCTTCTTCTGCAGGCCCACGAGCCTAATGCACAGCACAGGGGTGGAAGGAGCTCACATCCCCGCCAAGCCCCTGCTCCTGCTCCAAGCAGCTAGATCTGCCCAGCCCCAGCTAGATCTGCACGAGGGGAGGGCTAGGATCCAGAGTGACTGGACACATTGGAGGATTGGACCAAAAGACATCTCACGAGGTTCAACAAGGACAAGTGCAAAGTCCTGCCCTTAGGGCAGAACAATCCCATGCACCGGTACAGGCGGGGGGTGACGGGCTGGGCAGCAGCTCTGCAGAAAAGGACCTGGGGGGACAGGGGACAAGAAGATGGAGATGTGCCAGCAGTGTGCCCTCGTTGCCAAGAAGGCTAAGGGCACCCTGGGCTGCATTGGCAGGAGCGTTGCCTGCAGATGGAGGGCAGCGATTCTTCTCTCTTCAGCCCTGGGGAGGCCACATCTGGAGTCCTGTGTCCAGCTGTGGGCCCCCCACTACAGAAAGGATGTGGAAAAATTGGAGAGAGTCCAGTGGAGGGCAATGAAAATGGTTGTGGGGCTGGGGGACAGGACTTGTGAGGTGAGGCTGAGGGAAATGGGCTGATTGAGTCTGCAGAAGAGAAGACTGAGGGGTGTTGAACAGCAGCCTCCAACTCCCTGTCGGGGGCTTGCAAAGAGGACGGAGCTGGGCTGTTCTCAGTGGGGGCAGATGGCAGAACAAGGAGCAATGGGCTCAAGCTGCAGCAAGGGAAGTTGAGGTTGGATATTAGGAAAAATGTTGTCACTAGGAGGGTGGTGAAGCACTGGAACAGGCTCCCCAGAGAGGTGGTGGAGTCTCCATCCCTGGAGGTGTTGAAGACCCAGGTAGACAAAGCCTTGGCTGGGATGGTGTAGTTGGGGCTGGTCCTGCTTGGAGCAGGGGGTTGGACTAGATGTCACCTCCTGGGGTCCCTTCCAGCCCTCATCGTCTATGAGTCAATGATCCTACCCCTACCCCTTCTCACAGTGAGCTCCTGGATGAAGAGCATCACCCTAGGGCAGCTGTTCTCCTTTCCCCTCACTCCTCTCATTGATCAACACCCTCCCCGCAGTGAAGAACAGGACACAGGAGCCCAGCAGCAGTTACATCTGTGCCCAGCATGGAGGTGCCACCATCACCCTGCACCTGCTCCATATTCCCATTTATACATCCAAGCGTCATGTTAGGTTTCCTGGCCACAGCACAGCGCTGGGCTCTGGTCTGTGGCAGTACTTGCCACGCGTCCACGTCCAGATAGACCCCTAGCCTGTATGCGCACACCGCTTGCTTTGTTCCTAGGCATGACCCTGCACTGGGCTGTAGTAAGACGCATACAGCTTGTGTGAGTTGAGCAGGACAACCCAAGGAGCTCGCGCTGCACCAGCAAGGGACCCATCTCCTCCATGACCGCTATGGCGAGCCAGGCAGGAGGCGCTCCTGATTTGAGCCGCCCACCTCACTGCGCCCGAGCACCGTCCAGGCTCCGAGTGCCTCCCTGGGGTGCCTCCCGTGCGGCCGACCCCTTCCCCGGAGCACACCCGCTAGCCTGGGGGTCCCGCTGCCACCATCCAAGGCTCTGGACTCACTTCTGGCTCTGCGCACCTTGGAGAACACAGGCCTGATCGTCCAATGGGTCCTAGACCCAATACAGGCACTTGGGGCACTTCCCCAAGTCAGGGGCTTAATAGGAAAGTCTCCCTTAGTCCACAGACCTAAGGGGCCTCCTTGGCATAATTTAGTCCCACCCCTCAATAAGTCTCCACACCGGTCACAAAGGAGAACTTTATTGATGACAGGGGTAGGGCGGAAACAGGGTAAAAGGTAGAGCAATATCAGAGCAATATCAGAGGAATATCAGAGGAATCCCATAGAGCAAACCAGGGTGGCTGAGGTAATGTTCGGAGTTGGATTAGTTGACTCACTTGCATCGTCCAGAGGTGGTTGGAGTTTCCTCTGGAGGCAGGGCACTCTTGCAGCATGCGGTGATGAGGAGAGAGCCAGGTTCAGATGGTGAAGCTCCTCTCCCAGTTTCAGATTCACCTGGATGACCTCATGGCTAATGGCCACCTTCTTCCTGGCCCGGGCCTTTAAATAACCTTTCTGACCTCAGCAGCCCGGTCCAATCGAAGCTGCCAGTGCTGGCCACTCGCCAACCAGTTTAAAAAGCATCATGGGTCACCTGGGCCGGTGAGCGGGGCTTTCCCCCCACCCAGGTGACCAGAGCATCCACACCGGAGGCACCAGGCTTTTGTGATCCCCTGCCCTGAGGGATTCAACCCCAGCCTCTCACGCTGGCAGAGACAGACTTCTGGAGAGGGGCACAGACGGTGGCATTTCTGCCACAACCACCACTCCCAGTCTGTGTGTCACCCCCCCAACTGCATCAGCAGCCATTTCAGGCTTTCTTCCAGATGGCTGATCAAAAGGTTTAAAAAAGCACCAGGTCTAGAGCCAGTCCCTATGGAAACGTACCTGTTGGGTGCTGAGGTCCTGCATACGATCACCTGTCTGACGCCGTGTGCCCTGTTGGCACCCGGCAGCAGCACCTGGGTGGGCCACGAGCACCCCGAGGGCATGCTGCTGCTGCTGCTGACAGCAGGGGCTGTGCACCATGGGGGGGAAGTGTGGGGGATCCCCACACCCCCCACATACCTGCACTCTGCACTCCCGCCAGCCCCAGCCCCAAGCTCCCCTCCCTCCTCAGCCCCCTTCGCTTCCCTGCCAGCTTGGGTCTACTGGTGCCAGCTAGCCACCGAACCCAAACCTGCAGGCCCAGCCTGCTGCCGGAGCAGCAAGAGCAACCAGTGCAGCGCAAGCCCTTCAATGCCTCTTCTCCAGTGGGAGGTCGCGGCACCACGAGAACGGCCTTACGCTCTGTGTTCAAAAGCAGGTTTACTGTTCGGCCGCGTCTACCCTGCCTGCTCGCTGACCCGGGGACTACTCCCCAAAACAAGCCTTGCTCCTACTTCTGCTCCATGCATGCCCAAGGAGGGCAATTAGGCATTGCAAGGGGCTCAGAAGGGTCCTGACTGCATTCCCCAGAGACAGGCAGCTTGAGAGCGGTCCCAAGACACGCTAGCTCCCAGGCCAGCACCTGGTAGATCCACTTCCAAAGCCAGGGCTTTGCCCAAGGCTCAGGACAAGCTGACCGTGATGCTCAGGGAAAGCAGCGTGTGGAGGAAGCCAGCCCCTTGCAGCCTGCACAATGTGTTCAAGTCTGAATTTATTATTAAAAATCAAGTATCTACGGCTGCCAAGGGAACCGGCGCTTTGCAGATAGCACAGAAACGCATCCCCTGCCCCGGAGGGCTCACAGTCTAAACAGTACAGGCTAAAAGGGGGAAACACAGGGCTTAAGAGCAGTAATTAAAAACCAAACCACTAAGGAACTGGCTCATGTACCTGTACTAGATAAAATCAGAGCCAGGCCTTCGTGTGTCAGAAGTCCTGTACTGCTACCTGCGAGGAGCGGTTCTCCTCTAGCACAAGTGGCAGAAACAGCCGTGTCAGGAAGACGCAGGCTCTGCCCGCTGCCTTGCAGCGACCCAGGCTGGCTGGGGTGTCTTGTGACAAGCACAAAGCCCTCGCAGCTCGGGGACTGCAATATTCGGAGGGGTGGGAGACAAAGGTGAGATGAAAGCTCAGGGCTGCACAGCCAGGGCACGAGACCGTGCTGGGAGGAAGGGCCAGGGGCCTCCCAGCCCAAGCAGAGCTGCTGCAGCCTGAGACGCAAACCTCCAGCGGCACAGGAGGTGAAGCCGTCACGAACCGGGTTCGAAAGCTGCTCCCAGGCAAACCTGGGCCAAATGCAGCTTGGCTGGGCAGTGAGAATGGGCCCGCGTTGGGTCAGTGACACTTTTTAGGTATGACGTACAGGGGAAAGCCTCTGTAAGCGCTCTCAAGAAGCTGGATTATGGCTTCCTCCCGCAAGTTCCCCGGTCTTCCCCTTTTCCTCTCCCTCAGACGACCCTCAAGGGGCTCCCCCATGTCTGTCTGCATGCAACAGCCTGGTGTCTGCACAAGCGGCGAGTCAACTCACCCGAGCCCCAGTTAGGGACTCAAACCTGAGCTAGGAAAGGACAAGACGGTTTCTAACCCCAGATTCAAGGTGATGTGGATCAGCCTACAGCAACCACCTAAAACACGGCACAACCCAGGTAATAATTTTAGTTTCGATGCAGCGGGAAGTGAAGTGTTTGGGCACCTTGCCAAACACATCTGAGCAGCTGGGAAGCGCTCATGCGGTGGCATAACAGAAACGATCCCCGAAGACGAGAGCAAAAGAACAGAACGGACGGCCTGATGCACCGTGAGCTGCGCAGGGGGAACAAAGGCAGGGGGAAATAATGAACCGACAAGTCAGCCGAACAGAAGCGTTAAGATCTGGGCAAACCGACGGAAGAGGGGGCAACCAGGGCTGTCAGCGAAGGCAGGAAGAAACTCGAGGAGCGTTTTAGTGTAACACGAGCACCGCCTTCCCGCTAAGCAACTGTCTTTCCCTTCGATTCGATCGGTTGTCTCTTCAGCAGACAACAGGTGCGCCGAGTGCTGTCTCCTCGTCAGGGTAGAGAGGCACCAGGACGAAGGCTGCGGGCGGTCGTCCTAGCGCAAGCAGAGTTTCTCCAGTCTGCAGTGGGATCACTCCACACTGACGTCAGCGGAGCGGAGCGGAGCAAGTGGACTCTGGCTCGGCCGTGTTAATCTTAGCAAATTAGGTCTTTCTTTATGTCCTGAGAAGGGGCTGGGCTGACTCAAGCTCCAGGACGGCTGCGGCGAGAGCAGCGAAAGCTTCGCGAGTCTGTCCTGCCAGTACACCTCTCCCCAGGTAAGGAGGGGCTGCCCTGCCCTCAGCCATCGACCTGCCTCTCTTCCGCCAGGATCCCGGCACCCGAGCAGAGACCGAGCCTCGGCGCACGGCGCGTGCTCCACGACCTGAGAGGCTTTGTGAACCCGTGTGCCACGGGACTAAGCGACCTGCAGAACTGCCCGCTGCAGGATCTCTCAAGAGACGCCAGCTTCATCGGGATCAATCCACTCGCTCTCTTGACACCACAGCCATCTAATGTTTTTACTTGAAAACTATTTTCCCGGGGGATCCTACAGGCTCCAGGCTGCTGGCCGTGGGGCAGGGCAGCCCCAACCCTGCCTAGGGACATGTTCTTCCAAGCACCCTTCACACCGGAGCGGGTGTTTGCTCCCGCTCTGGCTAGAAGAAGACGTTGCCCAGCAAAGCCTCGCGCCCGCTGGGCACGCAGGCCCGCTCCCGCAGGTGGATCTTCTGGTGCTGCAGCAGGTGCTGCTTCTGGGTGAAGCTCTTGCCGCACTCAGCGCACGGGTAGGGGCGCTCCCCGGTGTGGATGCGCTGGTGCCGGATGAGGTCTGAGGGGTGGGTGAAGCTCTTGCCACAGTAGGTGCAGGTGAGGGCCCCCGTGCCGCGCCCTGCGTGCATGCGCTGGTGCGTGACGAGGGTCTTCTTTTGGGAGAAGCACTCCTGGCACCGGTTGCACTTGTACGGCCGCTCCCGCCCGGCGCCCCTCTGGCTCGGCCTGTAGCCAGGTTTGAGGCCAAAGCTCTTCATGCACTTGGGGCTGCCGTAGGGCCTGTCCGCCAGCTGCCCCCGCGGGTGGGTCTTCAGGCCGTGGCTCTGCCGAAAACTCTCCTCGCACTCCCCGGGGCTGTAGGCGCCCGCTCCTGGGGGCACCCGGGGGTGCGGCGCGTAGTACTGCTTGAAGGTGAAGCTGTCGCCCCGGTCGGCCGGCTCCAAGCACTCCAGCCGGACGTGACCCCGCTGGTGCATTGCCAGGCTCTTCCTCAGCCGAAAGCCTTTCCCGCACTCCACGCACACAAAGGGCCTCTCCACGGGGCAGCCGCGCCGGTAGAAAGGGACGGCGTTGCTGTCGCCAAAACTACCTTCTGCAGGGATGGGCTCTGCCGGCCCGTCCTTCCCAGGGGGTCCGTGCTGCCCGACGGAGCTGCATGGGCCCTCCAAGGGCATCTCCTCGCAAGGACTCTGGAAAACCAGCTCCTCCGCCTGCCCAGACAGCGTTCGTTGCAGCTCCAGGTGTCTGAGACGCTCCTCGTGATCCCGCAGCTCAGTCCTGAACATGAGCCCGTTGTCC